GAATAAGTGTGATCGTGTTAATCAAGGCTAAATGCAATTAGACCCCATGGTATCAATGTAATCATAAATGCCTCTCCACTCTTACCAACTAGGTGCAGCATATCCTCCGATCAATAGATGGAGATTGCCATCTCAGTAGGTACGAGGGTGAGCCTACGAACCCAGGTATGGTGACCGTAAGTACCGCTTTGGCCTCTCACATTCAGATGAGCCTGTTTCTCTAATGAACTCATGCTAATACTTAGATCTCTAGACTTATTCACTGCATTAAGAACACATAAGATAATAAATCAAATAGGTCAAGTCAGTTGTCAATCTTTATACCAAGTGCAGGTACCAACATAATTTTTTGTTATTGGATGGACAAAAGACACTAGCTGCAACGCAGCGATTCATAGATTCAATTGTTTCCAACTGATCCATGATTTGGCGTCAATCCTTTGGATAAAAAGATTACGATAGTTCCATTATTATTAATTAAAAACATCATTTAATTTGACAACAGTTCTGTGTGCGTTTCCCACTGTCTGAAGTTCAGTAAAAATAAGGACTCAATTGTGGTGGCCACATTCTTCATGATGCAGTTACTTCTCAACCAATGAACACCAGATTCGTTTCATGCTTAGAGTTTCGCCTTGTAGGATCAATTTTTGATTGGCTCTTGCATTTCGGTTAAAGCGAAAGACTGAGCATGAAACGCGATTATCTCACAGCGCCCCCCCCCCCCACAATACCGTTTTTCCATAATCACAATAATTTGGTCTCATGACAAAAGCACTAATTTATTTTCCTTACAGTGCGTTGATGGAGATTGCTCTAAAAGATTAAGCCAGCGGGTTCTTTCTGGTGAGGAAGGTCCGGAGGAAATCGGCGAAATCCCACTTCTTTACTTCCCACGATTTCTTGGTGCATTAAATAAAACGTGGGCGGATAGTTCCAACCATGAAATTGGATATCGGCTTTCTTCGACTTTAGCCATTGATTTGCCATACTGTGAAAAAAATTTCAAATCCAAATGCGCTAACGCGATGCTGATTTCGTGTTTCAGGAAGTTCAACACCAACGATGAACAACATACGAAGAAAATAACTCAAACCTCGTTGGACCGATAACCATCGATGAGAAGAATACTGAAGCCCCCCCACCTTTTGTATAAACATAATCAGAGAAAAGACCATTGCCAATTCCCGTTTACTTAGTTTTAAGGAAACAAAACAGAGAGTCGTCGTATTTTGTACAGAATTGTTAACATTTTAGATGACGCCGGAATGGAAGCGTCGGCCTCTCACCATCCAACGGGCGTCTTCCATGTCTGCTGACTCGGGGGGTCTGGATTTTTACCTACTACCAGCTGTAAATTATTTATTATTTTGTTTCCTTAAAATCCAATAAATGTCTATTTATTTCATTTATTTACCTATTTATTTAACTATAAAAACAATAACAACCAGTCTCTGCCTTTTTATTCCAAGTCCCAGTCCCCTCCTGCCCGGTTGGTTATTCCTCCTAGCGGAGTCGGAATCACTTCTTATAGATCATATTCGATTGGGGTTCGATGTATCGTTTGGTTAAAAACAATAGAGCATAACCTCAAACGAAAATTTTATGATTTAAATAGGAAAACCTAAAAATAACACAATTCCTCACAATCACTTGTCATCCGATTTCAGACGATAGCCACTTCGATGCCAATCATCATCATCAGGTCACACCGACTTCGACCCGGCAAACACCAAAAAAGTCACTCCAAAGTCACTCCAAATGGTTCAAATGGAAAACTTCATTTCGGGGGGGCTGGAGAAATGGTATCCCCCCAACTTCGCGATCGATAAATTCTGACAACGTCAACGTTTTGTAAGTGTTTTGTAACGTTTTGTAAGTCCAAAAGAAAATTTTGTAACTCAGTTTTTAGGGGGGATACGGCTACCCAAAATTTTGAGGCCAGCCCCCCCACTTTGCGATCGATAAATTCCGATAACGCCAACGTTTTGTAAGTGTTTTGTAACGTTTTGTAAGTCCAAA